TTATTCCAATTTTTACAGAGAGAAATTCCTATACCATGAAGGGCTTGCATGTCTAATAATAAAAATCTATTTTTTTTAAATTATAAAAAAATCAATGCAAAATATTTTCTACATTAGAAAAAACAGTTATATGCTGTTTATTTCATTAACAAGAGTATACCAAAAATTCACTACTGATCAAGAAAGCGAAACTTGTCATTCTATCTTGAGGATTTATTCCTACATAATACAATTAATTGTTTTCAAATAAATATTGAGTGTTCTTTTCTATAGTGATTCAGTTTTGATAATAAAAATATAGACAGTTCAATAAAAATGGAGTTAATTTGCAACATGTAATATTGTCACAATGAATTATTACTTCATATTTATGCATGTAAATTTTCAGGTGACATTTTGAAATCTTACTATTTAAAAACTACCCTGGTTTTATTTTGGTTAAGTTTTTATGTCATAAAATATGAAAGGACTAACATTTCTTTCCAATAAAGTAATAAGTAGTAGTGTGGTCCAGTTTTCTATTGGTGGCCTACTAGTGCACCAACTGTGTTTTATGAGAGGTAGTAGGATAAAGCTCTAATAGGGTTTTGTGGCAAATGGCACCAAACAGACATTACCCTAAGGTCAACTAAAGGTTAAAAAAATACAAACATATTTCTTGAAAGCTCAACTGGAATGTAAGTAAAGTAAATGCATTCTTTACTTATAATCAATTTTGTATGCTTAATAAGGATGCACATATAAGTGAATTAATTAAAGAAAATTCCATTTAAAAAACCTTGCTTGGATTAGAGCTATTGGGTTGTCGGAAATGTCATGATGTATTTTCCAATGTTTTTCATTGCAAAAATGCGTCATGACTTTTCCAACAACCCAATATAATGTGCACATTTGTTTTTTACAAAGGGCAGATTTACAAACTTAAGATTTTCATGAATTCTGTTAGGGAATAGACTTGATACAAGGTCTTTTGGATTACATTCCACATAGTGCTGAAGAAGTTGGGATAAGTTGTTTTATTAAAAATTCAGATATCTAGGGAGAGGGGAGGTGTTGGCTATTTTGCCATTTCCTCCTGGTTCCTTATGATCTCCAAGTGCAGAAAGGAGGACTATCTCTATCAGAAATTGGCAAACTATGGTCAGTGAGCATCAAATCTCACCCAAGGCCTGGTTTCGTAAATACAGTTTTACTGGAACACAACCACACTCGTTTAAGAACTGTCTGTGGTGGCTTCCATGCTCCAACAGCACAGCTGAATAATTATAACAGCAAAAAATCTGGCTTGCAATGGCTAAAATATTTACATAAATATTTCCTTTACAAAGAAATTTCCTTATCCCTGGTCTAGTTTAACATTGTGCAATGTAAATAAAATGCAAACCACATATGTAATATTAAACTGTGTAGCAGCCATATTTACAAAAATATATAAAAAGATGCAGGTAAAACTGATTTTAATAATATGCCAGGGGTGCTAAAAAAATGTACACATTTTAAGAGATGTTATCTATGTATTACTTTTCGAAGTTGAATTGAATTACGTAGCAGTATGTAGTGTGACATTCGCTCAAAAGATGGCGCTAATCAAATGAATGCTAGCATCATTCATTGTATTACAATTTTAATACAGTTTTTTCCTTTCTTAAAATGTGTATACATTTTTTTGGCACCCCTGTATTTTACTTAACCCTATATCCAAAATATCATTTTACATGTGGTACTAGCAATTTCAAGTGCCCGAAGCCATATGTGGTTAATGGCTACCATATTAAATAGTACAGCTGTAAATAAGCATCCAGGGGGAGCTGTTCTATAGAAAATCAGTTTTAAAAAGACATTCCCATGACACTACAGTGGGTCTAAATTGTGGTAGTTAAAATAATTCAGTTTATCCTTTTAATCATTTTACAGACAAGAAATGCAGAAAAATAATTTAAAACCAACCAGCCAACAGACAAAATAGGCTTTCTGTCCTTAAAATAAAATGAAGCTACAAAGACCTCAGCCACATAGAAATGATTTTAGTTAGGTTGTTTATTTCCAACTTTGAAGCTAATTTCCTCCCACTGCAATTTAAACAGTTTCTATCTGATTTTATCCTCAGCAGAATCTGAGAAAAGCAGTTTCCCATCACTAATATAATATTGTATTCCTTTAAATCTTTTAAGATCCTGGACCTCTCCTACCCCAAAGATTTTTCTTTGTCTAGCTGCACAAATTCAACTCTTCTAGCATTTCAAATTGGACTCATTTTTTAAAAAGTTTTATTGTACTTGTTCTCTTTAAAAACCTTTTCCCAAATCCATATGCACTCTTCAAATGCAAGAAGAAAATGTGAATAGAGGTATTCTAACAAATTGTAAATACTGACAAACACAAAGAGCTCACCACACAGATCATATATGCTTTTCTTCCATTTAAACTGTTCACACTACCATTTGAAACTATTTCACTGTGTCTCAGAAAATCCACACCAAAAAACCCTGAAACACAGAGTAACCTTAAATAGTTCTGAATTTCACAGGCTTATTCTCCTACCTCTAAAATGAGTATGATTTAGGTCCTTTTCTTTAAAACTGATTTTTTTTTTCCTGGTGAAAACTCACAAAGCATGTTACAGTATTAATGATAAGGAGAATGGAGAATTGATAAGCACTCTTGAAATCTCATGCTTATCAAATGTATAAATGAAAGAAGATTAAGATAAAACAAGCTCAATGGCTTAACTCTAAGAGGATGAAATGAAGATATGCAGGGCATAATTGGAGAAGATATAACTTAAGAGAAATGCAAATAAGAGAGCTTACTGTTAACTAGTAACAGTAATATTAGATGTACAGCATATAGAACAAAGGAGGCGATAGTCCTGTCTAATTGTCTAGCTCTGTAAAGGCTGAAGAACTAGCAATCAGTTTACCTTCTGGAAATTAAACTAGTAAAATAGGCACTTGCTTGAGATTTGCTCCTGCAGACTCTAGACATCTGATATGCATGAGTCAAGAGACATCTCCAAGTTCTCCTGGACTATGCTAGCATATAACTCCCACTAGAAGATGCACCCTCCATTGTGAATAGAGAGCAACACAGCCACATTAAGATGGGAATGCTTGGCAGGCAGCTGAGCTCACTCACTGGGCTTTATTTATCACGACCTTATAATACGTAAGTGTGGTTCAATTTCCTGCCTTAGGAGACTAAGACCTTATGACTTGCATCTTGAGTTGTGAATGTTAAAGTTTTATCATATTGATATAATTGTCCTTATTAAACATGATGTCTTTCAAGTTAACAACATTAAAAACAGTTTTGGGAAGCCTAAAAACAATTTGGCGAAATGAGAAAAAACAAACAAACAAACATAGCTGTAGTCTAATCACTGGTTTCAACATCCAAAGGAGGAAAGTATAAACAAAAGTAGGTGGCCTAAACGGAGTATTACAAAGAGAAATCCAAAATTTAGGAATTTTTAAATGTATGTCAGCCTTGAACAAAGGAGACAGTACCTTAGTGAGCTGAAAGGGATGACTGTCTTAGACTCGTAGAGCTTAATGAATGAATACCCCATGACTCCATGCCCATCAAGGACCCCATTATATAATTCCACCTCCCTCCTCTCCCACACTCCCTATAGCTTTGCTATAGTGAGGATGTGCTGAACTATGAACAGAATTGCAGTTATTTTTATCATTGTGAATTAAACGATTATCATTCTAGTTTATGTAATCATTTCTTGGGTATTTGGTTAGTGTGACTCAGTTCTCAAACGATTGACAAACCCTGGCCTGGCTGATCAAATCTAAATCAAGTCTGTAGACCTAAAAAGCTGAAGATAATAAGCTGGTGCTGCCACCCAGCCCTGTAGCTTTGAGGCACAGTTTGAGTAGACATCTTTCTTGAAGATAGCACATCTTTTTGCCTCTAACTCTGTATGTACATGAGATGAAATGAAGTTTTATTTAAAGTCCACGTTAACGGTATTTTAACAGTCTTTATATCATTAAATAATGGAAAATGTTAATAATGTGTAACTTAAAATCAGCTAAAATTTGACTTAGAAATACCACTTCTGGAAATATGTCTTAATAAATAATACTGAATATGAAAAATGCTTTAGGTTCATAGATGTGTTATTCATAACAGTGAAACAAAACATAATCCAAATATTAAGCCATAAAAATAATCCATATAGTAAATGGTATAGATACAGTATATACAGCATGATGCAACCATTAAAAATAGGTAATATTATGAAAATGTTTACATGAAAAAATACTACAGTAAATATATGCATATAAATGACATAATTATAACGAAGTGGGAGGATAACTTGGAGGTGTGAATGACAAAAAGATGAAAGAGTCCCTGAAAGAAATCAGATTAAATTACTATATCATACTTAGAACTGAAAAGTAACAAGCTCATCTAAATCTGTGTGAAGCTGGTTGACTTGGTTTATGAAAATTAATGCAAACTCCTTCATCATGTATTAACTGAGGCTTGGAAGCCTAAAAAGCTGGTGATCCTAGAGATACTTGCTGAATGTATCTAAAGAATTGTCCATATGATGACCCAGTTTTTCTGATACATTTTGGGTTTAGTATTTGTAATTTGCCTTATTAAAGGGGGCCAGAACCCTCAACTAAAAAGAAACCAAAAAAAACAAAAAAAAAATGATGCAAGCCACAGGATACAGGGTTTTGTTTTTGTTTTTTCCTCTTCTCCATGGAAAACCATTGAGAATTCAAGAGTTAATATAAAATTCACTCAATTTTGATAAGCTAGAGACTAATTTGTCAAAAAGAATGCTATACCAGGAATAATAATCACTCAAAAAGTTATCCTGATTCATCCAAGATGACTTGGTAGATCCGTCTGGTAGATGCAGTCATACCTGAGGTCTCTTTTTTGTGCTGATATTTGATTGCCACATATTTATGAAGGCATATAACTTCTTAGGGTGATAATGTTATTTGTAAACAGAGGCGATTTGAACTTACCTTACATGAAGACTCTACCTGCAGACCAGGGCAAGGTATTGGCCCAAACTGGTAGGAGATGGAGGATCTCTGTTCTACACTTTTGTGCTTATGTGTCTCTGAGGCAACTGAAAATACAGATTCGGGCTTTACAAACTGTGACTCATCACAACAATTAAGAATAATTCTTGCTCTTTCTCCTGTTTCATGTCTTTCCAAAGTGCCTGGAAAAACAAGATTAGAAATAAAAATTGATGCAAACTATTTACCCCAAGAGAATGAAAAGAACAAAACACTTTTAACAGAAAATCACAATTCTTTAAGTTAGCATGCCTTACTGTCTTCTTGCAAACAAACAACTGCCTGCGAGCTTTCTCTAAGTTATTCAAATTATGTTCTTACAAAGGCTGGAATTATGGACTCAAAAAGCTCATCTCTCTCTTTGTGCTTTTTCATCCACTGAAATCAACACGGCAATCATTTAACAGTAGAATCTCTTACTTATTATACAGTATGCAAGTGATCAATAGCAAAAAACTATGGAATATTTTAGTGCTGTCCCCTAGTGTTCCAGCTCACAAACAACAGAGAAACCACCGTGTTTTGCTTGGGTTCCCAAGCTTAAAAGGTTTCTATTGGCAATCTATAATTTTAAGTGAATAGGGCAAGAAGGAACACAGGTGCTTTGTGTGACTATCTCCTTCACCCAAG